TTTTTTTTGGTCTTTTGGATACAGGGTCTCACTATGCAGTTCAGGCTGGCCTTGAGCTCACTTTGTAGCCCAGGCTGGCCTCGAACTCACAACGACCCTCCTGCCTCAGCCTCCGGAGTGAGGGGATTACGGGCGCGCGCCCCCACACTAGGCTCGTTCTGCCTTTTAAAGTGCGCACGACACACTGAAAGTGCCCTGTGGTCTCACACTAACCTTTCAGATAGCTAGAATTTCTCACAACGGTTACACAACCGGTACCTTCGCATTTCTTTTCAAAACTATTTGATAATAGGCAGTCCAGCCAAGTATAATATTTCTCAATTATAAGCTCACGAAGATTAATAGGGTTCAGTGAGCAAAACAGTAAAACTAGGCATGCGGCAGCAAGCACGTCCTGGGCCGTCTTAGTTCCGTGCAGGTTGCTCTGCCGCATGCCCGGACAGACCCTGTGCCCCGTGACCTCCAGGAACGGACGGTAGACGGTTCTGTTGCCTTCACACCCCAGATCGAGTGTTAGGTAATCCTCAATCTGAGGACAGAATTCTACTTTGATGGCCACTCAGACGGAATAATACAATGCTCCCTTTGGCCGTCCTCTCCCTTGAAGAAATGCAGGCGTTGCTGATGAGAACCTGCCTTACACAGAAAACATCCGATCAATGAGCTTTCTTCTGACTCTATGTCCTGCCGTGCACACTGCCGTTCCACATGCGGGCGATCCAGCTTTTGGCTCATTGGCTGGGGGAGGAGGGGAAGCCTTCCTCGCCTGTGACTCCGTTTTGAAATTGTAATTTTTTTAAATAAGTGGAGAGAAACAAACCGACGTTGGAAAGTTCCGGAAGAACTGTAGCATGAAAGCCCTGTAAGTGTCTGCTAAATGGTCTTGAACTGTTTTATAAATGACCCAGGGAGCTCATTTAAACCTTTACAACTCTACTATGGAGCGTTTCCCTGGGGAGAACCAACATTTTGCATCTGATGATTTCTGCAACTCTCAGTTTTCATAAAGAGAAACTGCCAGGGGAAAACAGCCATGGCCCCTGCATCCAGGAAAAAAACAGGAACAAAAAGAACAAAAAATGAAACAGTGATGCTCTGTTTAGAAGAAAACCTGCACAAGGAAGGACAGAGACGCTCAGTCCTGCAGTTCAGTTTGAGGACATTAAGTTTCTCCATGATAAACTGTACAGAGAAACTGAGTAACTGAAACAGCATAAAGCTGAAAAGGAGTCACTTAAACTAGCTTAGCTTCGGGAATTATGCATAGATTGGAGTAATCCTTAGTGCATCTATGAAGATTACTGTGAATTTCATTGTATAGATCAATCAAACAGATACTAAGGATTAAATAAAATGTCCAAGCCCATAACTTTAACACGTGTGAAGCCAGAGTTTACACTCAGGTTTATCTGATTTCACCACTCATCTCTTTCCGCTTTGATGCACAGTTCCCATTTGTAAACTCAAACCCAAAGTGATATGAGAATCGCTTAATTTTTCAATGCACACCTAGTAAGAAAAAAACAGTGATAACAATAAAAATGGCTTTGAAAGATTATTCCTGGGAGGTTTTATGGGAAAGTTTCCTCCTACCACGTGGGCTTAATGGTCTTTGACTATGGAAAGTATATACACAA